GTGCACCTTCACTCACGGCAATTGGCGACCTCATCAGCGATCCGTTCAGCCTGGTGATTTCTCCAGATCAACATCTTTTTCGTCCCGAAGTACTCCGAGCTGATGCTATGAAAGCCCTGGCAGTGCACTCCGCCAACTCTAGCATCAGGAGAGCTTTGCTACGCAAGACGAGGAACCAGCAGGACCTGCAACCAGGTCAAGCCGTGGCCTTCTGGAGATGGAGCGGGAGATCGCGTCAACACAAGAAGGGTGCGTGGGCCTTGGCACGTTTCATCAGTCACGACCCCGACGGCAAGAGCATCTGGGTTTAGGTCAACACAACCACCGTCAAAGTTGCCAACAACCAAGTCAGATTGGCATGTGGATGGGAGGAATGGACGCCAAGTCGAGAAGACGTCGCCATGCTCAAGGACGCAGAGGCAAACATTCGACAAGACCTTTGGGAAGACGGCCGCGAGGAACCACCAGGCGCGCTCGAGGAAGCAACCAGCGAGCTCGCCGGACATGTTTTGGATGCACCTGCTCCACTACTACCTCGCCCAGTCGACTATTGGAGGTTCACAGACCACGAGGCCATCTGGTTCCGCGACACGACCTTTACGTTCCAACTGAAGCCGAGTGCGAGTTTAACTTGGACGACCTCAGACCTCGACGATCTGCGAAAGACCTATATCCATGAGCATGACGAACAACCACCTCATGATCAATGGCGTGATCCCCGGTGCGCTCAAACTTGGGAGCACCCCTGGACAGGCAATATACATCATTCCTTTGGAGGACACCTGCTCGAGTTCCTCCACCTGAAGCACAAGCACCTCCTCCACTACCACTCCGTTTGCCAGCGCAAGCCTCTGCAGGTTCACTTGGTCGGTCAGCGCCACCGAGGCAGCAAACCAACGTGCAGCAGGAACTTCGCCAGACCAATATACATCATGAGCGCCATCAATCTGATGTACGCCAGCCAAAGACAAGCGTCAAGACGTACATTGACAACAGGTCCGTGACGGTAATGCCATCTTCACCTGTGCCACCTACTCCCAGGTCCAGAGCTCGGCTGAGGTCACGAACTCCCACGGGCAGGCAACACGGACACCCACAAAGGAGACAGCAGCACCGTCGACGCCCGCCGAACCACGCGAAGCTCCTCCAGCACTACCTCAACCTGAAGACCAAGCAGCGCCCGTGACTCCAGGCCATGTTGCCATTTAGTGCGGGCATCCCAGAGACTCCTCCTTTCAGTCCAGGAGTTCCTGGCGCACCGGACATGACAAGTTTTCCTGGGCCACCTCCACGTCCTCAAGAAGATGACGATGTTGACCTACATGCTCAGCTTTTCGCGCCAGACGCTGAAGGTGATGACGCGAACGCCGAGCTCAACGACACCACGAACCACGAGCACAACGAGGCCACCAAGGCCGACAGTGGGCTAACAGCTTTGGCTGGCCCAAACGTTCCCGACGAACACAGTTCTCCTGTGTTTGAACCAGCAACAGCTGCTGGACAACTTGCAAGCGAAAGCAGCCGACCTTCGCAGGCTGCCAGTCTTCCAAAGCTTCCCCAAAAGAGACCTGCGGATGCACTGTATTCGACAGGGGCCTTCAAATTCTTTGTCGATAGTTTCGGGGAAGCTGTTTTGGAAAAGCACGGAGAAGCGGATGATATTCGACCCCCGTTTCGTCGTCAGCCATTTTACAGAAGCTACTTGGGCAGTCATGCGCGCAAGCTGGAGATGGCCAAACACAACATCCATGACGACCCCGGCCGCGAGGACGCTTCGTCAGACGATGAATCATTGACCATTTCCAACAACCGCATGCACTCCCGCCAGGAGCTCAAGCAACTGGACCGCGAACTGCCCTGGAAAGAGATCGTCAACCTCCCTCGTGCCTCCTACGAGAAGTACCTGGAGTCAGCCAGGGTCGAGGAGAACAACTGGCTGAGCTGGGGAGGCATACGACCCCTTTCTCGTGAAGAGATCCGGAAGGTCATGGCAGATCCTGAGCTCTCTCGTCGGGTTCTGAAAAGCAGAGCTGCGTATCGAGACAAGAACAAGGGCCTTGGAGAGATCAAAGCAAAGTGCCGAGTTGTTTTGATTGGATGCGCCGATCCCGACCTCTTCCATCTTTCCCGTGATTCTCCTACACCTTCACGGCTTTCTGAGTCTTTGGTCCTTTCCATCGCGACGGCTGGAGCCAATGGCGCGATGAACAACGAACAGGGAAAGTGGAGCCTCTGGATCTCTGACGCAAAGAGCGCGTTCCTGCAAGGCGAGCAAAACCGAGAAGAGCAAGCTGGACCTTTGTACATGCGCGCTCCGCGAGATCCCCTGGTGATCGAGACGGGCGCGTTCTCTGCCGACTTCTACGAAGTCCTTGGCAACGGCTATGGACTTCCTGACGCACCAAGAGTCTGGAGCCGCCGAGTGTTCAAGAGAGCCCTCGAAAATGGGTTCAGGCAGCACGCCTTTGACAAATGCCTTTTCCATTATCTCGCAGGCTGAGGGCGGTGATGATAGTACACATGGACGACTTCCTGTGCACGTTCCACGAGGACTTCAACCGGGAGATCCTCGAGAACCTTTTCGTGTGGGGTTCAGTGGTCATCGTTGACAAGTTGACGCCTGGCTCCTACCGAGGCAAAGAGATCACGTTGGTCGAGAAAGGCGGCAGGATCACGTACAAGGTGACTCAGAAGTCCTTCATCGACGGCATGACCTCAGGAAGCATCGCGCGTGGGCGCTCCAAGGAGGACGAGAAGCTGACCGCGGAAGAGTGGAAGGAATATTCCGATCAGCTTCGGGATCCCTACAGTGGGTCGCCTCGCAGACACGGCCTGAGGTAGGCCCAGTTGTGAGCCTCTCGAACCGCGGCCAGTCAACTACCTTCAACGACCTGAAGAAGCTCTACGAGACCGTCGACTACTTGAAGCTGACCAGCACCCAGGGGTTGTGTTATCAGGACATACCAATCAGCATGACGACAGTTGTCTTGACCTACACGGACTCCTCCGGGGCCAACACCCTGGACCTGAAGTCTCAGTACGGTGTTCTTGTACTCCTGACTCCCTTCTCAGGTGACCGAAGTTGCTTCCAGAGCCGCAGTACTCGCGTGTGCAGGAGTACTTTGGCTGCAGAGGCATCGGCGGCAGACGAGGGGGCAGATAGGTCGGCCTTCTCGAACATGTCCTTGAGTGAACTCCTCACCGGCGAGCCCGCGCACCGAGCTGGGTGTAAGCTGCAGAACTTGCACGCAGTGGACGCCAAGAGCTTGTACGACTGCCTGATCCAGGACAACCCGAACGTTGCTAACAAGCGTAGTCTGATCAACATTCGTTCTGTCCAGGAAACCGTAAGTCCTAAACAGGTTCACTGGGTCCCTACGCATTTAATGTATGCTGATGGGCTCACAAAGCTAGATGTGCAGCTGATGATGCACCTGTGGGAGTGGCTTCAGAGTCCACTCGTGCAACTCCGTGAGGGTCGTGAGCCAAAGAAAAGTAATACCAGTGTGAAAGCTGGTGTGCAGAGCACTGAAGCCCGGGTCCCGCAATACCTTTGGCTCACTTCGCTTCTTTAGTTCGGCCGCTGAGCCATTGCTTTAGCTTTGTGCAAGCTGATGGAAAAGGGCGCCCCGTGCGCCTGCTGAGCTTTGAGAGCATACTGTTTCTTTGGCAAGTTCTAGTGTGAGACCTTAGAGCCCGCAGATCCCGTAGGGCCCGTAGGGCCCGCAGAGCCCATAGGGCCCGCAGAGGGCCCGTAGAGGGCCCGTAGGGGCCTGCAAAGGCCCGGGCCTCTAACGCGACCATTCTCACCCTCCTTGCGGCGGTCCGCCGCCCCCCAGCGCAAACGATATCGTGCACACCCCCTTTGATTGCGCAAGCAAGCGATATCGCGCACACCTTTTCTTTGATTGCATTGGTCCAGGATTTGGGCTTCAGAGCTTTGGGTGTACCTGGCAGGCGACGCTTTCAGTACTAGCTTCATGCTGGGATTGCTTGGGCTGGGGGAGGTTTTACCAAAATTCCTACACTTTACACCCGAAGTCCCAAACCCTAAACACCCCCAACCCTACTGCGGTGTATAGCAGAATCCTGCATGACCCGAAGTATCGCATACCTTGTGAGTTATAGTAAATTACAGTCTTTATACAAGTACTGAGGTCATGCAGGATTTTAACACCAACAGGATCTTCACAAACCCAGTCTCCATTCCGCTTTCCATGTTCTTTTCCCTTTGATTCTCCTTTATTGGGATAATTCCTACACGAAACCTAAACAATATCCCAACAAATCCTCAACAGTAGGCCCCGTTCGCCTAGCCACGACATCCACGTTGCCACCACCCGTGAGACACCCGTAGCGCATATCCACAGCATATCCACCAACGTATCCGCCACCCGTGAGAAATCCCATCCACCACATATCCACCAACATTTCCGCCACCCGTGAGAAATCCCACCCCGCTGCGTTTAGTCCCTTTTTACTTTTGCCGGAAACACCACACCCACATCGCGCCCTCGCGTTGGTCAAACAAACGAGAACTCAACCCCAGAGGGGTTTTCGGGAAAAAGCTCAGTGTGCCTCGAGTTGTTTTCAACTTGTTTCCGAAACAGCTAGTTTTTTGCTGGGTTGACCCAGGGCGGGTGACCCCAGAATCCAGAAATCGCAACAGCAATTGAAAAATATATGTCCGATTTACTTTCGACATTTGACGAAAAGCTAGCTTCTTGGTGGGTTAGCCCAAGGCGGGCCCCCCGGAATCCAAAATTCCGCCGCAGCAGCAGCAACAGCACTAGCAGTGTCCATCGTGGATTTCATGCTCCTTGTCATGTTTCTTCTTGGTCTTCTTCTTTTCCTCCTCCTTCCGTTGTTGTCATCATGATCTTCGTCCATTGCTGGCAAGTGCTCATTCAGCTGAACTTAAGGGCGTGGTGTGGTGGTGTTGCATCTATAGTACTTTGTCAAATTTGTTACTAAACAGGGCACGTCCAGGTTCAATGGAGATGGAAGACTCTAGAGAGTCTGGTGAGAGTCGATCGTTCGGATCTTGGATATGATCAAAATTTTTGAAAGGGAGAAATCCCCAAAGCTTCACATCCTTCCAGGTCCCAAAGCTCTTGGGCTGCTGGAGTCCTGCCAGCCGGCGAGGCAGGAACATGGATTAAGAGTGCCAAACGGATCCATCGCTACACTGGCAAGCTCACATGTGGCTGTGGAATCAGAAGTCCAGAAGACTTCCACTCAGAGGCGCCGACGGCGAGCAGTATGAGTTCAATGTCCACGAACTGGGCTGTGACTGACCCAGTCTATGATGTGTATGGAGGGGTTCCAAGGATCATCAGGTGCGCCTGCTGACCCTCTCCAGGCTTTGGGGACATCTCGTGAGACATTGGCAGGACGTTTCGTACTCAGTGTTTTCTTGCTACCATATCGCAGCCTCTTTTTGTGAATCTTATTTGCAGGTGCAATAATCACACAGCCGTGAGGTTCTAAGCTGCCATGGATGTCTGGGGATTTCTGCGCATCTCAGTATTGCAAGGCTCAACCATTCTGGGATGGCATCTCAGTGACAGGGTTGCTAGGGCTAATATCATGCTTTCCATTCCGACCTTCTATCTGCCGAGGCGCTTGCCCAGAGTGTATGAGGTCTGGGACAATGTTGGTGGCCGCAACAGGTCAGGGGCTTTTTGTTGTTGCAGCTACTGTAATCCGTGCGGTCCGCTTGGATTCTGTGGGGCATGCCATTGCTTTGCATTATTTTGGGCAAACAGGAATGCAAGGGATTGCAAGGATTGCATTGTTGTCCTATACAGAGCATGAAAGATTGTTCATCTCGTTTGTCTCTTCGTGCCGTCTCAGATGCTCTACAGACTCTAGATATCCGTCTGAGAAGGAATGTCCAACAGGTCAGGACGGCGTAGAATTCAAAATGTCATACCTTTCGCATGGTGATGCTTAATGATTATGGGAGCAGCCGTCATTTTGCGGCATGCCAAATTTTGGGTACCCCAGACGTCAAAGTACCCGAGCGATGGCAGTCTGCAAGGTTTTGCTGCTGTGGCCGATGTATCACCGGCCCAGACATCGATTTCTGGTACAACTTGTGCACATGGCAACGGGCCTGAAAAATCCTCGCTAGTTGTTTTCTATGAAGCTATCACAACTGGCAACTGAGGTCCCTGATCCTTATACCTTCTGCGTTGTACTTCTGGGCATGTCGCTGACTCATCGAGCGATGCTTTCCATGACTCCTTGCAAAGGCACCTGGCATGCACTGCTTGCTGCCTCAGGCTCGCCTCATCTATGGTCACTCAATCCTCTGTTGCCAATCGTTACTGGCATTGTGACTTGGTTGCATGTCAAGCTTTGGCGCGCTGTGTAGCGGAAGCTGCGCTGAAGCAGAGGCGCTGATCGCGACAATTGTCTTCTTACTCCTGACATCATGTACAGACCCAGGCCGCACTTGACACACATACCCACTGACCTACTGAGACGCGTGTCCCTGCCTGGAGGCATTCTGCCTCGGAGGGAGCTGCGCTTGGCAGTTCCAGGGTGGCGTGCTAAAGCAAGTCATAAGTTGGGATCAGTATCTCATGCTGCCGGCAGCTTGATGTTGGCATAAGGCTGGAGGAGGAGATTGTTTCAGCGGTGGGGGTGCCACCGCTCCCCGTGGCAACCTCGGCTTCATTTTGCTTGAAAGTGCGCGAGCTGCGAGCCATCCGAGTTTGCTCTGCTACAGGCCGAGGGCGGCGCAGAACCAGAAGTCCCTCCTTTGAGCGATTTGCGAAGTGCTCAGGTTCTGGGTCACAAATTCTGACAGCACTCCTGTCTGGTCCAGTTGGGGAGAGAGCATTTCCACTCTTCGGTCAGGAGCGCATGTTGCAGGCATTTGCAGGAACAACTGAGGCAGCAATCTCAGGGCTATCGATGGTGCTCGACCTGCAAGGTCCCTTGTCTTAAAAGCATTAGGATTCTGCTAACGCTGACGGAGCAAACGCGCAGATCATTCGCCCTCCTCGCGCATCTCACTGTGGGGACTGCGATAACTGCGTGTTAACGCTTGCTGCCCAGCGATCAATGATCTGAAGCAGCACTGGTGACGTTCTGCCAGCACACCATCAAGGTTTGACCATCACTGTCCCTTTGTCAACAACTGCATAGGCCAAAGGCAGCGCTGGCTGGTCGACATGGTAATTTTGTTTTGCCGGGCTCTGTGCCAGGAACTATGCGTTCTTCTCCGCTTTCCTGTTTTCGACAGGGTCTGCTCCTGAGACTTTGACTTGGCTGCGATGGCCTACTCGCCTCAAATTTGGATCCATCGCAGGTGTTTGGGCTTCTCCGTGGCTGTCGGAGTAGGCAAGCAGCTCAGCATGCCAGAAGGAATCCTGACTTTGCAGTGTCTCGTGCGAAGGCATCAGATACTCCAGCATGGGATCCCTGCCCGACCTTTGGAGGACCCGCATAAAAAATTACACAGCATATCTCGCATGTGTCCGCCTGAACCTGCTCAGCTGTAGGAACCCGGTGCTCTGCCTTGTCCTTGGCTTGATTGGCATACCCACGGCCTTGATGCTGCTTGGCCACGATCTTACACTGCGGCATTTCCACAGCAGCCAGCATGAGGAGGGCTCGCGAAGCAGCTCTTCAGGATCAGAGTGCAACAGGTAGACAATGGTAGACAGACAGAAGAAGGTAAAACGGAGCTTTGAGTGAAGTCTATCGGCAAACCAAAGACGTATCTAGCAGGGTCCTTAAAGCTATGGCTGTGGTGGCCAGAGTCCTCCCCCGATATGTAAACGTGTTGCGAGGATGCTGCTGCAACTGGCAGAGCCAGGGAAAGAGAGAAGTGTTGGATCACCATGTTTGCAAGTATTTGAATACATGTTAAAGATACATCGTTACGCTAACAATACTTGTCTCCATGCTTGCTCATGTTGCTTTGCCCAGGCACAACATGAACATGGACAGAACTTTTGTCCCCCTCAGGCATTTCTGTCAAAGTGGCTCTCCTGATCTTTGAGGTGTCATTGCTCTGGCCTCCTTCCATTCGTTCCTGATTTGCACGGGCCGCACGACAAAGGAGGCAGCAGCAAAGCAGACAGCGTGATTGCTCTTTACTTTCTTCTCGTTGCCTCACCTATGCTGGGCTCACCCCCACATCCTAATAGCTATGGCATTTAGCACCGCTGAGTTCTTCTGATACTTTCAAAGCTGGATGTCCACTGGCACGTTCTTTAGGGTGTAGAGTTTGCCTGCTGTAAGCTGGATCTAGTGCTTAGTGCATCTCACCTTGGGCACCAGTACAACAAGTTTTGATTGGCGAGTCAACCCATACAGTGAGCCGCTTCATCCTGAGGTTGTGGATAATCAAGCTTGACTGGCGCATTCGCAGGTGCTTACCGGGAGGATCACCGTGGCTGGACGGACGCTCTTGCATGAGAGGGGCGCATCTCTCATCCATGCGCGGTCAAGCGTGCGGGACTTGGGGCATCAAGTTGTTTTCTGTTCAACCGCAGGTGTATTTGCTTGGGAGCATCGCGCAAAACTGGTTGAGAGACCCAGTACCAGGTTGGGCAGATGCAGACGCAGGAACCTTGAGAGACGCAAAGGTGCTTGGAGTATGCGATCAGCAACTCCGTTTCACCAAAGAAACACGCCATCTTTTGCCAAAGCTCCAACACTTCCTACCATTGCTGAATTGCTCTGTGGAGAAGGAGTTTGGCACAATAAGCTCTTCCACATTTGCGGCTCTCGCTGGCTGCTTCTGTGTCTGCAGCCGCTCCGTCATGGTCAGAACGTGAAATCATCAGGGTCAAGTCTGGACGGCATTAGCCTGTGCCCCAAGCGCAAAGTGTATTAGGCCCTACGGGGCCCCCAGCAACCTCTGAAGCCACCAGACCTGTTGGACGCAAACTGCATGAATCCCAGATATGATCGTGCCGGAATCCTCACAGGTAATGTCTGAAAGCCATGGGGAACACACTGCTTGCCACGCAGAAGGCCTCGCTTTTGGGAAGGTCTGCAAGAGTTGTTGTTCTTTGTGCGTCTTGCTTGCCAAATCAATGCCTTCGCAGATAGCATGTGGACACACAGATCGCACACATCTGCAGCATGTGACTCAGCCCATGGAAGCGCTTCATGGTTGAACTGCGCCTGTCTGAAGACAGTGCTGTGCTGCATGCTGTACGTAAGCTGCCCAGGCAAAACCTGTTGTGTGATAGACTCTCGCAGCCGACTGCAGAGGCACATGTAGAAGCCGAGCTTGCTCTGCTTGCTCAGTGCGACTTTCATGTTTTTTTTTTTTTTTTT